AAAATGGATTTATCTTGACAATCCCAAGCAGAAGAAATTATGGGTGGACTCTAGCCAACCATACATTTCAACGTCAAAGAGGAATATTCATGAGCATAAATCCTTGCTCTGCATTTGGTCGGACCAGAATGGTACGCTTTATTACGAGCACTTGCATCCAAAACCGTTACAGCTGATCGCTACCAACAGCAATTATGCCGAATGAGTGATGAATTGATGCATAAAAGGCTATTTGTGGCCAGTAATCGAAGCACAGTCATTTTTTTGCAGGATAAAGATCGACCGCATGTTGCGAAAGCGTAAAACAGACATTTTTACAGCTTGAATGGGAAGTCCTCCCGCCACCAGCGTACGCTCTAGACATGGCACCGTCGTATTACCATCTTTGCCGGTCGACACAACACGCACGTAAAGACACACATTCCTCCACACTTCCCCAGTTACGAAGATGTCCAATCGAAGAAGGCCATTAGAGTTAGTTTATTGTAGACGTAGGTAACATAGATTCGTCTCATATCCTTTGCCTTTTGAATGTACAATATCGCAATAGCTTCACTGCGCATATAACCAATACCAGAAGCATCAAATGGCTGGCAATAACCATCATTGGAGAGAACGCCTTAAATTGTTGAATTGATTGATAATAACAGCAATTCCAAGGGTTCTTGCCGGTATAATGTTTAGATGCAAATTAACAAAGTGGTTCTTATGTATAACTTTACCGAGTTGAAAAAATTGAAGCGAAATGTTGGGATGCAGACATATGTTGGCGCCCCCCACGATAGCCGCATCGCATTCTCCACTTCGTATCATTCTATAAGCTTCCGCCATGGCGTAGTGGCTTGAACTGCAAGCCGTATCCAAGACATAAGATGGTCCATCAAGGCCAAACCAGTTAGAAATGCTGTTGGCTAACAAGTATCGACTACATCCAACAATTGGGTATCCAGCTGCCTAATCACAAATAAAGATGCGATATCATGTAAATTTTTCTCCAGTATCTTTCTCTCTGTATTGCGTGCGTATATAAGAAATTCCAGAGTGGCCGAATATTTCCGCTACGTAGCCGTTTAAATATCGACGATAAAGTTAAAGTGAAAGTTGTTTAAAAACATCTTATACTTGTAACATTATTATCATATAAAATGCTTCGTTTATGAAACATTAAACNTATGAAATATTCAACCGACCGAAATGTCTTCCTTAAATATTTGAAATATCGTTAAATATTTTATTTCAGTAATAAATAATTCCTGTAATAAATAATTATGATTCTTGTCGCAGAGTAACATGATCCTCTGAAGACACCGGTTTTTATTCCTCTTAATTCTTTAGGATTTACACCGGCATCAATAATCGCTTCGTAGATGTGTTCAAGCAACATCCTGCACATAGGATTATTGGCGTGCGCTTCCGAAGATGTCATATTGAAAAATTACTCGTCGAATTTATGTTCATGGTTAATAAATTACGATCGAGTAGGCATAACGTAATGAACTGTTAAAATTCCGGACATTTACTTTATTATACTTAGTATATAATCGATTGAATTTCTTAAAAAAAACAGCAGAAGATTAATATTTTCTCTTTCGAATTTTTATGCGAATAGTGGTTTTATATTACCATTACTCCATCGTCGACTATCATCGGAACCTAGGTCCATTTTATTCAAAAGATTTTCTTCTAGTTGTTTCATATTATCGGAATTGGGAAACCGTCCTGAAATACCAGAGATCACAATTTCCTCCTCTGGAAGGACTTTCACATATGGATTGTACCGTTTGCTGCTTTCCATGATGTCGGCTCGCTGTTATAAATTGATGTGAACTGGAAAGAGAAAGATTTTCAAATTTTACTAGCAGAATGAATACAACAATCAAAGTGGATATCAAATAAACGTACAATATTATTTTACGCACAAATTTTGCGCTTGTGATGTGTATTTTAAATTTATTCTTATACTAGATATGGAGTTAAAAAAAATACATCGTTCCTTTCCAAGCTTCTAAGTCGTTAAAATAAAATTTAATAACAGTTTCAATTGTCTCCGCTCGTCATTTGAGATTATTTCTTGATAGCAGCCAGTAACCTGAAGTATAAATGCTTCATTTAATCAAAACAAGACTGCTTATGAAACTCATCGGTAACCACTTATATACCCTTCTATACGGCTAACATAATATAAGTCATATTTCAGTTTGCTGCATATAAATATTCCCACTTCTTTTATTTCACCTACGTATGCCACTGTTCTTTGTGTTTCCTTCTCCCTTTTCCATCATTCTTTATCCTCTCTCTCTCTCTCTCTCTCTCTCTCTCTCTCTCTCTCTCTTTCTCTCTCTCTCTGATACTATTAATTATATATCGAATTATCACATACATAGTAAAGTCTATGCATATCAGGCCTGAAGAATTCCGAGCGCTTAAGTTTGATCGGACTTTGACTATCAAGTAACACATTTATTATTTTTATGCGCAGCAACGCTCTATCTCACGTAACTCGTTTTTTGACCGTAATTAAAAGTGAACGTGTCGACAAGTTTCTTGAAATGTTTAAAATCGAGTATCGTGCGGTGAACAAATTCTTGAACGAAGAAAGTTTTACACCGTTACAAATTAAATATCGTTTGGATGTAAACGGGACTCTTTCCTATCATATTCAACTGTCAAAAGAATAGGCTAAAGTGTTAAAATTGGACAAGAAACTCTGAAAGACGAACCTCACCTCGGTCAGTCTGCGGAAATTGTTACTCCGGAAACCATTTTTGTCGTGAAGATTAAATTGCTTAATGACCGATCTTTGAATTCTTTAAGCGCATAGTGTTATTTAATATTAAATAATATTTCTGAAATATTAAAGATGGTTAGATGTCCAATCTTAATAACATTTAAAAAATTATATTATTTAACGTTATTGTAACATTATATATTTTTTTAAATTTTATCAATTTTGCGTATATACATAGTATATATAATTTTATTAATCATTTCATCATAACATATATAATAGTTTTTTATTTCAAATGTATTGCAATATCAATTCTTTTATTATATAAATAAATTCGAAATAATTTTGTGTAAAAATACGTTTTATATTTTAAAAAATTTTACATATATATTAACAGGTGGGCTGATAAGTTCCCGGTCTAATAAAGAAAACACAACTTTTTTGGTAAAAATAAATTTTATTCATCAACATAGTTTCCATCAAGAGCGATACTGTCACTCTAGCGCCTCTCTAACATTTCTAAACCTTTTTTAAAAAACGATTTATCTTTAGCTTCAAAATAGGCGTTTGTTTCGGCGATCACTTCCTCATTAGAGCCAAATCTCTTACCTGCGAGCATCTTTTTTAGGTCTGCGAACAGGTAATAGTCGCT